ATAATAATAATAATAATAATAATAATGATGATAATGATAAAATTTGGAATAATAATGAATAATGATCATTGTAACAATGATAATGATAATGATAACATTGATGGTAATAATGAAGACGATAATAATGATAAAGATGAAGATAAGGATGGTAATAATGATAATGGTAACCTTGATAATGATATTAATGCTAACAATGATAATGATAATAGTAATGATTATAATAACGATAATGATAATAATGATCATCATGATAACGATATTGATAGCAATGATATTAATGATATTGATGATAATAATACCGATGATAATGATAATGATAACAGTAATGAATATAATAATGATAATGATAATAATGATCACCATGATAACGATAATGATAGCAATAATAATAATGATATTGATGAAAATAATAACGATGATAATGATAATATTAGCAGTAGCGATAGAGATAGCATTGATAGTAATGTGAATAATAATGATAGTGATTAATAGGAATAATGATAAAAGTGATAATGACAATAATGGAAATCAGAGAAATGGTAATAATTATATTGATAATGATAATGATGATGGTGATATTGAGGATAATAACAAAACCAATGACAGCAATAATGATACTGATAACGATTGAAATAATGATTTTGATTATAACATTAACATTATAAAGATAACAACGACAATAACAACAACAACAGTAAGAATGATAATAACGATAATAATAATGATGAATATGATGATAATGGTAATAGACATAATGATAACATTAGTATCAAGAGTAATGATAACAATAACAATAATAAGAATAAATATAATGATAACAGTAATGGCGATAATAATGGTAATAACAATAATATTGATAATGACATTGACACTAGATAATAATTGTAATAACAATAATGATAATATAATATTAGCGCTAATAATAATAAGGATGATTAACATCATCAAGCATTGTAATGATAACAATAACAATAATGAAAATAAATATAATGATAATAGTAATGGCGATAATAATGG